CTTGGATCCTGAACACCTTGGTACTCAGACATTTTGGCATTCGACGCCGCAAACCCAGAAGTGAGTGTTCCAATTTGCGAACTTTCTTTGGAACCTGAACGTCTGATGGGGCTTCCGCGGCTTCCGATTGGCTGCAGGAACTTCCTGCAGCCAAACAGAAGCTGTGCTTTGGTTTCCGAACGTTTTGGACATCGAACGGACTTCTGGAACAGATTCCGTTCGACTTACAAGGTACGGCTGTACAGGCTTTTCACCACCCCAAAGTGGTGGCGTGGGTTGGAATTCATGCAAAGCCGTACTCCCCCGTAGGAAGAAATGTAGGAAGAAGCCTACATTTTACAGGCAGTGTGTGCAGGGCCAGATTTAGCTGTGATGAGACCCTAAGCTACTGAAGGTAATGGGGCCCTTTATAGGTGATATTTAAGGGAGCAGGCTAGCAGGCGGGGTCCATTACTTACATAATAGGAGCCTACACAACACAAAAAACTGTTGCTGTATGTAGGTTTTATTTTATTTGTTTTTTATCTTATATTTTGGAAATGTACATCCAGGTTTTTTTCTTGGGACCCTAAGCTATAGCTTGTTTAGCTTATATGTAAATCCATCACTAAGTGTGTGTGAGGCCTTCCAGCAGCGGATCTGCATTTTTGCAGCACTGCTGCTGGAGGAATTTGGCCTGTGAGGCTGATCCCGTTAAGGATCTGGCCCACAAACCCAAAAAAGTTTCTCATCCCTGCACTAAGGGATTTATATACCGATAGTAACACCCTGAACAATTCCCAGTAGCAAACTAGAATTAGTGCAGATCACTGGGCGCAGTTGTAATATGCTGACAGACTTTCACTCCTGTCAGCAATCATGCTGCAGCATTTTACACAAACTGCAGCTTCCAAATTAAGAGTGAGCGAAGCACCATATTGTATTAATCCCCTTTGGAAGGTACCAATGCCTGAATCACTGTGGTCAAGCTGTCCCAGTCCAGGAACAGTCAAAACTGTCTTAACAGTCAAAGCCTGGTAAGTGAAAGGCACTCCTAGCCATTGAGGCCGCTTGGGCTTCCAGGGACAATGCTGAATCCTGCAGCACCCCCAGGCTGCTCCTTCAGAGGGAGTGCAATCCCATCCGGAACAGGCAACCAGCTAATTTCTGGGACCCAAGAGCCACTTGCCCACAGAGGACAGCTAATTTTCGCCTTGATATTTTTCTTCACCTTGGATTTCTCTTAGATCACTGAATCATAGAGCTGGAAGGGACCAAGAGGGGCATCTAGTCCAACCCCCTGCAATGCAGGAATCTTTTGCCCAAGGTCTGGCTCAAACCCACAACCCTGAGATTGTCTCATGCTCTACCACCTGAGCAAACTTTTGGAAATCATTCATGCGTTAGGGCACAGATACCCGTAACACTGAAAATTGTGATCAGTTGACTTCTGCAAATAGCCCCTAGGTAAACAATTAAAATGCTTTATTTGCAGCCACACTCACCCAGTGGCTGCAAAAGCATGGAACTCTTGTTTAACAAAAATTACAAATATCAACATTGTTTGTGTGCTGGATTTGAAGTACACAATCTTGCAACAACAACAAAATGGAGTTGGAACAAATTGCAATTTAATGACTCTAGTCCATTTGCAAAACAGCTGGAAATCAACTATCTTATTTCCCTTGAATAATATCTGAAGGGGTTATTTTTTTTAAATAACAGCTGCTTTCAGACATTTAGATGGCATGTAGCAAGTACAATTATACATACTAAATGAAGCACTTCGAAATGGTGCGGTACCTACAGTGCTGCTTTCTTTCATAATTCTACATTTAGACACTGGCTATTTGCTGGTTAACAAATCTGCCCCTTAAGCGCTTTGATATTTGGGCTTTATCAGTAGTCTTGTGCTAGTTCACACTTGTCAGGTTGATTGGGATGCAGGAAATTGAGAGAGCTTTCCAGCAAAGAGCACAATCACCAGTGGCTCTGGGTTCAGTCACAAACTATTTCCATTCCGCCTATCACATGTCAGTCTGAGAAAGGTTCCCCAGGAGGGACTGGTGCAAAGAATTATGTGCTAGTGACACATAGCAAGCATAAAGAGAGTTAACAGAAGAAACTATCCTGGCATTTGACCAACTTGGCAAACCTGTTATCTGGATACAACTAAATTCTAACAAGTAACAGCTCCTGTCTTTGCAAAACCTGAGGCAAAACAACAGAGCTCTGCTTGTGGAAAACAAACCAAGATATATTTTTTTACGTGCCATTTAAAATCATGTTATCTATATTAATTTTCTATTCCCATAGTAGGCTACTTCACTGTTGTACTGTTTCTTAGCAATGTAACTATTAGCTTCCTTCCAGTCCACCATTTCATGCTTTATAAAAAAAAAATAGTAGGAGAGGGAGGGTAATTCAATTTTCCCTACTAGACCTAACTTTGGGGGGGGGGGGCTAGACCAGTCTTCTCCAACTTGATACCTTCTAGATTTTTTTTTTAAAAAAACTATTGTTCCTATTGTCCCTGACCACTGGCCAGGCTAGCCAGAGCTGCTGGGAGTTGGAGTGCAACAACATATGAGCAGCGCCCAGTAGGGAAGGCTGCCCTAGAATGCACTGCAGTGCAGGGCAACCTATACAGAAGCGTCTGGCAGGTTGCAGAGGTGCAAATTGGTGGCACCATGAGCAGCCCCAACACTGCCCAACCTCACAGCACAGTTCAGAAGTAGCTGTTCAGAAGTAACTGGACCTCATCTCCTTAGCTTCTGCACAGTGTTGGCCAACAGAGCTTTCAATAGCACGTTGCCACTACTGCCAGAGAAAATGCACAAGCTGTATGCAGATTTTTCAATAGGGAGGATTTAAGCAAAGACTTAATCCCAAGAAAGCATGCACTGGATTGTAGCCTGAGTCACTCATTTTTCCATACAATATGTATTTCAGTCCTCGGATCCTGAACACCTCAGTTTCAGAACATTTCGGCTCCTGAACACTGAAAACCCAGAAGTAAATGTTCCGGTTTTCGAATGTTTTTCGGAAGCCAAACATCCAACGGGGCTTCCGCTGTGTGCAGGAATCTCCTGCAACCAATCGGAAGCCGTGCCTCGGTTGTTGAACATTTCAGAAGCTGAACAGGCTTCTGGAACAGATTACGTTCGACAACCGAGGTTTGACTAACTAATAAGAGTGTAGCCAAAGAATGTCATTTTACTTTGAATGGCAGCTACACAGTTAAAACTACAGAAGTCTTTGTGGAAGTATAGGCAAAGTTAAAGAAATAATCAAACTTGATTTATTTGCTAGTTTTTTATTTTAGCTATCCTCCAAGATGCTCAAGGTGGCAAACATCATTCTCCCAAGTGAGGCTAAGACATAATGACTGCTCCAATATCACCTAGTCAATTGATGTAGAGTTTTGAACCCAGGTCTCCCTGGTCCTGGTCCAGTGCTCTTAACCCAGGGGTGGGGGTCAAGGGATAATGGGAGGTGGGTCCAACAACATCTGGAGAGCCACAGGTTCTCCATCCCTGCTCTAACCAACAATGCACATAGATGTCTGATCACTAAATTACAGTGAAATTAACCAATGCTTCCAGCCTAGCGACTGTGTTATATTAGAACACCTTCCCAAAGAAATCCTTTGTGCTTGCCAGCCAGCCAATTTGTTTTTCATGTTGTCCTCAAGAGTATACTGTAGAAACATTACTTATCCGCTACGAAGATTAAGGGAAACTAAAGGGTCCCTGTTACTCAATAATCTCTTCTAAGTACTTAATCAATGATAATTTAATTAGCAAAAAGTTTCAGAAGGTCAAATAAAGCTGTTACTTTCACATTACTTGGAAACAAATGGTACTGCCATCTCTGCTTCAGGAGCACCACACAAATACAGGCATTTCAGAATGTAAAATGAACACACTGGCCTGAAGGGTGCTAGACATACCCTTAAACATTCCTGATAGGATTACAGGGCAATGCAATGCCTTTAAGTATCCTCTGCTACTAGGGTTTTTGAATAATTGTGCTATTTGTAACTTTTTTCCTGTATTTGTTTATTGTTATTTTAGTTCTTTTTTCTGGTTAGCCAGCTTCAACTTTTTAGAAAAGGCAGGATTGTGCATGTTTAAACCAAAAAAATAAAGAAGTATCAGGTAATGCACATACCCATAGGCAGTGACTTCATAAAAGCTTGTTATCACTATTAAACTTTTCCAGATGGTTTAAAAAAGGGGGGTAATTGGACATGATCCCATGCATGCCAACCCTGATCTAGAGGCTGCCACACCATACCTAGCCATATTTAATAAATGCAAGGGATAATCCATTTAATTCCCTTTTTTACCTTTTAAAATGAAGCAATGATAAGGGGAAGAGGTAGTTTTGGAGAAGTCTGTATCCCTGCTCAGCGCCCTGCTTTGTAAAAAGCTATTTCACCACTGCCATGATTACATTTTATAGAAAAGGAGCGCTCTGCCTGATTATAAAACATGTATAATAGTCACAGAGAGGTCCTGGCCACAAAGTATTGCCTACTGGGTGCAATAGGATGACTCCGAAAGTCACTTGCATTTGAGAAGCACAGCAGGACACCAATGGAAGAAATTACACTATTGTAATCTTGATTCTCTTGTGTTAGGAGGCTGCTGTTAGGGTAACCCTTGCTCACTTAGGATTCTGCCAGGATAAGTATCTCAAATGCTCGGGTCCTAAACCATTTGGGTCTTTAAAAAGATCAAAACCAGCGCTTTGAATTGAGCCCAGAAGCTAATTAGTAACTCAATGAAAAACAGAACATCTGAGTGACATGTTTGACCTATGTGCCCAAATCAACAGCCTGCTAGCTTCATACTGGATCAACTATAATTTCCAACCAGTCTTTAGACGCAGCTCCACATACAGCACATAACAGTAATCTAATTCAGATGCAACGAGGGGACAAATTCACGTGTGTTATGTCACCAAAAGCCATCTCTGAAGCTATGAAATAATGCATGTAGCAATAAAAGCATTACCTTTTTGAAAAGTCGCCCAGAGTCCTCACTGACTTGAACAAACCGAGGGATGATGTTGTTCAGGTAGATGTCACTTAAGGTGGTGTGGTCCCTGCTCTCCCGCTTCACCTGGTTTAAAAGGAGGTTCCAGCAATTGACAGGTGAAAGAACATTCTGATCCTTCCTGCGGGGAAAGCAGAACCAAAATATTATTTTTATCCTCGTCTTTTTCCATAGGAGAGGCAAAGGTGATGCAATACAATATACTGAACTTTTCTAATGTACCATTGTATAGTAGTAATGTACATGTACTATGAAACATTAAAGTTTTCAAAATGCAAAAATTGAGGCAGTTATCAGGAATTATAGCACAACTTTTACAACAATTTACCATTCCAGTTGCTGGAAACTATGGGAGGGGAGATTGCTTTTGTGCTCATGTTGTGATCCCTGGCTTCTCACAGGCATCTGGGCGGCCAATGTAAGAAAGAAATACTGGACTAGATGGGCCATTGGCCTGATCCAGCAGGCTATTTGTATGTTCTTATGTACACAACCTGCTGCTGCCATGAGTGCTGGAAGGAAGACCGCTTCCTGCTGCAAGGCCCATTTTCACCTGGCCCAGACTCACTCTGAGCAGCTAAAAACTTCCTGGGAGTCCACTGGGACATTGCTAGAACAACTCTTGGGTTGGGGCAACTGGCTAAAATGTTTTAAAAGTTTTAAACAGTTCTAATTTTGGTTCTTCTGTTTCATTTTTGTTAGGTTGTTGATGGTTAAATGTTTAGTTGGAGTCGGCGGTTACTTTAATTTGGGTATAACTGTAAACTGTTGTTATTGTTATTTTAATTGTTATTGTTATTGGTTTTTATTGATGTATTGGTTTGTTTGTTGATTGTATAAGATATCTTGTTTTGTAATGTTTGGTGTTTTGCTGTTTTCTATGTTGTAAGCCGCCCAGAGTGGCTAGGGAAACTCAGCCTGATGGGCGGAAGATGTAGAGATATAGATGATAGATATAGATAGATGCAGCAAAATTATATGCTGGGGGGAGGTGTTTGTTCGCCCCAGAACATTGGTATCACTTTAACTTATTGCGTTCCATCATACCTCTCCTCCCTTTCGACTGTTGCCCATAGACTGGCCTTCACCAAAGCGAGGTTCAACGTTTTCCCCTCCAATGTCCTGAGACATAGATTCTCAAAGGGCCAAGTCCCCGCCACGTGCGAATGTGATAAGGTGACGCCGGAGTCGCTCCAGCACATTATGTTCACTTGCCCCCTGTTCAATGTGCCACGGGCAAATTTGTTGGGATCAATCATACAGAAACTAGAGGGTACCCCACCAAAATTCCACCTTGCCCAAATCTTGCAGGATAAGGATTCCCACACGACCCTGAAAGTGGCTAGGTTCCTGGTCGCTGTCCTCTCCCAAAAGCGACGCCAAGGAGCGCTACAAGCTAATTAAGGCGTAGCATGCCTTTCCATCTTATAGTATTTATTGTTATAGTGGTGTTTTAGCGACTGTTTTTTCTTTTCCCCACGGCACAAGCTGTCACTTATGTGTTGTTTTTACCTGTATGGGCCTATGGCCGTAATAAATATTATCTTATCTTATCTATAGATAGATGATAGATAGATAGATAGATAGATAGATAGATAGATAGATAGATACAGATATATAGATATAAAAATTATTTAAAGACTATTGTTCTTTGTTATTTATACATCATTTTTCACCAGAAAGGTCTTAAATTAGTTCCTAGTGATGATAAAACCCAAGCTAAGATTGCACTGTAAGCCACTAAACCCTGCAAAATTAAGCCAAATAAGATAAAAATACAATAAAATTTAAAATATTGTTTCATTCTGTTTCAGAATGATCATCTTCAGGGTGAAGTATCACTAAAGCTCCTGATGGCTTTGCTAGCAGTCTCTTTCCACCGATCTGTACAAACCAGATTTCAACAAGATCATATCCGTAAATCAACCCTAGTAGAGAAATATTAGATGACATGCTGAGAGAAAGCTACAGGTCTGCTACTTGAGGACCTTGTGAACTGTAGCCTTCCAGAAACTGAATGTTCACTATCAGGGAACAGAAAGCAGGGCGGTAACTTTCTCAGAACAATGACCACAATCACTTCTCCTCGGAGCAGCCACGAGGCGCATCTCACGACAGGATGTTTAACAAATACTCACTAACTCACCATTTATCCTTACAGCAAAGTATTGATAAAAATAACAGGGCTTTTAAATATAACACACCACTGGCTGTATAAATAAACAACTTCCCTGGGCTCTCTTAGGACACTATGATTCTTTTTCTTTGAAAGGAGAATGGCTGCATAGCACCTTACAATAATCTATACTGAATTTTTCAAAAACAACAGCTATAACATTGAAATAGACTTACATAGTGTCAAAACCTCTCGCTCTATTCTCCTGTAATGTGTTCTCCTCATTGCTACGGCCTCCAAAAAAATCTTAGCAGAAAAGCAAACTAATGAAGAATAGGACCAAACTGCGGGAGGCAGTGGAAGACAGGAGTGCCTGGCGTGCTCTGGTCCATGGGGTCATGAAGAGTCGGACATGACTAAACGACTAAACAACAACTCACTTATCTGGAAGCCCACTTAGACACTAGGTCAAGACCCTTTTTAATTTTCAGTTACAAAAATTAAATGACAACAGAGTGGGGAATAAGTCCAGTCCTCTCTCATTTGCTATCACTTATTAGTGAGACAACCACAGTCGTAGTGGGGATCTGATTCAGAACATGGGGTTTTTTTGGCCAAAAGTCCATAGTCCACCCTGGCATCCATGGATTATCAGAGGTGCAATTCACAGCAGGAGTCAAGCAGCAGCCAGGGGTGAATGCTGTCTATAATGGAGACCAGTGATATCTTCTCCCCAAGGTGCTTAAGACAAAATCAAATGCAAGACTGTGCATGTTCTGTGTTCCTCTCGCCCATCAAAATTCTGCACAAATGAAGCCTCAGTTTGTTGATGCAAAGTTAGTAAGTGTACATATATATATCTTGCAACATTTTCTTTCTTTCAAGAGAAGTTTTTCCATTCACTCTCTATAATAATATAATATATTATACTCTCTCTATGCCCTGCATGATTATCTTGTCACCTCTGACTTGCCTTTTCTCTAAACCAGGGGTGGCCAACTCCCAAGAGACTGCGATCTACTCACAGAGTTAAAAACTGGCAGTGATCTACCCCCTTTTTTGGGGTTCAGCTCAAAGTTGCTGAGCTTTTTTTTAGGAAGGGGGAAGGCCCATTTTGGGGGGGCAGGGCAAAAATGTTGAGCTTTTTCAGGGAGCCAAACTTGTTGAGCTTCTTTGGGGGGATACAGTGATCTACCAGTGATCTACCACAGACATCCAGTGATCTATAGGTAGATCACGATCTACCTGTTGGACGTGCCTGCTCTAAACTAAAAAGTCCCAAATGCTGAAACCTTTCCTCACACAGCGAAGTCGTTCCATCCCCTTAATCATTTGGGGGCTCTATTCCTGTCCCTTGGAAAGGCCCAAGGCAGGTCCAGGCAGCCCAGTCATTCAAGGTCTTCTGTGCCACCATAAGGGCAAAAAACTCACTATTCTAAAATTAAAGCAGAGGTTTGAAATATGCCATTTTTTGCATGCACAGCAAATGTGTAGAAAACATATAACCCTGTAAGTAGGCAAAGAAAAGTGGGTAGGGAGAACTCAGTGTAAAAAGCAGGAGGAAGGATGCAAACACTCATGAGGGTAAAGGAGTAGCTAGACTGTAGACAACAGGGATGAAGGGCTGCTAAAAGTAAAAAAAGGAGCAAATGGGGACTGGGATGCAGGGCACATCAGGGGACTCTGTAGCAGACTTGGAATAATCCAGGGATTAAGGGGATATTTGTAGTGCTGAAAGAACAGCCTCTGCTTTTGGATTCGTTCAGCAACTATAAGCAGGTGTTATAAAAATCACTGAGAATACAGGATCTTTACTGGATTATTCCAAGGCAGCTACAAGAAGTAGTTCAAGGCAATTATTTTTTCCAAAGGGTTATCTGAATGGTATGATCATCTCGGTTTTTAAGTATGTTTGGGGTTTAAATGTCTGTGCAAGCGGACATTTTTTTGTACGCAAATGAGTTTGCTTTACTATCCAGAGAACCAGAACATACTTAGGATAATGTGCAATAGAAAGAGATTTTGATAAACCTATTAATATGCTTTCTTATTGTTAGAATTCTTATATTCGAACTTATCTTATTATTTCCTTAGTAAAGCAGAAACCTAGAATTAGCCATGATTTTGTAAATAATTAAGTTGGAATCATAGAACTGTAGCATTTGAAGAGACCCCAAGGGTCATTTAGTCCAACTTCCTGCAATGCAGGAATCTCAACTAGATCATACATGACAGATGGCCATCCAAACTCTGCTTAAACAATAAGCCACCTTTAGCTCTGCTTTATACTCTGAATTTATTTTCCCTTCTAGAAAGCAAAAAACAAAAGAACGTATCTCAGGAGGCTGTGGGCAGTTGTGAGAAAAAAATCCATGTAGGCTGTTGAAGAATAAAATCCTTATTTTGTTCAACATCCTGAGACCTCATTTTGGATGCGCTTCAGTTTTTACATTTCTCCTTCTCTTTCTTGAAAACCAACACATAAGCAGTGGGGCCACCACAGATGTAACTGTGAACTATGGGTTTAAGGCAGGGGTAGGCAAACTAAGGCCCAGGGGCCGGATCCGACCCAATCGCCTTCTAAATGCGGCCTGCGGACAGTCCGGGAATCAGCGTGCTTTTACATTAGTAGAATGTGTGCTTTTATTTAAAATGCATCTCTCGGTTATTTGCGTTCATATTTTTTGTCAAAATATAGTCCAGCCCACCACATGGTCTGAGCCCATGGCTGGAAAAGGTTGCTGACCCCTGGTTTAAGGATTGGGTCAAATGATTTCATACTTCCCTTTCCTCTCTGACTCACCAACAAGAAAATGTTCTTGGTTCCTCCTCCCACATTTCTCATTCTGGTTTTGCAGCACCATCTGACTACTGGTAACTCTGGTTTGGGGTAATCCTAAAGTTCAATTCAGGATCTGGGCAAATTCTGCAGTCCGTTCATAATCAACATTCCTAAACAACTATCTGAATTTTAGAAGACATCTGAAGGCAGCCCTGTTTAGGGA